ATATATATGCAAACAGTTGACAAATTGACGAAAAACTGTACAAATATAAAGGTATATTATTCAAATGATAACAGAAAAAGCGGTGCTAAATAACTTGCACCGTACCCTCCATACCACATCCAAGGGAAGGAAGACAAGTTGTGTCCTATGAATTCCTGTTCTAAGACAGCTGTTAGGAAAGACAGACCTGTCCCAGTATTGAGCTGTTTCTGTACCCACCACACTCGGGGCTGCGGTGGCTGTACCTGGCCAGGAGTCAGTCCCTTTCCTCCGTGGGTCTGCCTGCCAATGGCCAGGGGCAAAGTCTGCATTATTCGTAGGGGGAGTGGTGACCGACTTCGATGGAGATGGGATGCTGGACCTCATCTTGTCTCATGGGGAGTCCATGGCCCAGCCGCTGTCTGTCTTCCGGGGGAACCAGGTATGCACCAACCCAGGACCCATAGATCCCACCCCTGTGTTTCTTGGACCCAGGGCACAGGAGCCTAGGATGCTTGCTGACCAGCCTGGTGGGAAATGTAAATCCAAAGCCTGGGGAAAGCAAATCCGCAGTAGCACAGTAAGGCTCAGGAAGTCTTGCCTCCCAGAGAAACCCTGGGCCCCTGTGCCTTCCACAGCCACTTCTGGGCCAGAAATGTCTTTCTGAGTCTCTTGGTTATTCCGTCTGCATCTCCAGCACTTCTCTCTTCCGCTGATCTGTCTTTGCCTTGTTCCTCTTCCTTGCCTCCTTCTCTTTCTCTTTCCTCTGCCCCTATTCTTCTCATCCCACTCTCCTCCCATCCCTCTCTCCCTCCTTGTCATCCCTTCCCTCCCTGGTCCTCCTGCCCACCTCACTGATGCCATGTCTGCCTGTGTCCCTCCCTACAGGGCTTCAGCAACAACTGGCTGAGAGTGGTACCTCGCACCCGGTTTGGAGCCTTTGCCAGGGGCGCCAAGGTCGTGCTGTACACGAAGAAGAGCGGGGCCCACCTGAGAATCATTGACGGGGGCTCGGGCTACCTTTGTGAGATGGAGCCCGTGGCACACTTTGGCCTGGGTGAGTTGGGGCCCAGTTGGGGCTCAGTGAGTGGGTCCTGAGAATGAGTCCTGCAGCGTGCTGTTTGGTTCAGGGGCTCACAGCCCCAGCAGTTGTGACAGCACAGAGGACACCAGCTCTTAGAGCCAAACCCTGTGTGTGAGATGAGCCTACTCTCCAGGGGAAGAGAGTGGGAAAGACTGACTAATATTTCCTGCCTCTCACTTGTAGGAGTCTCCACCTAGGACCTCAGCGGAATTAGTTCAGTTTGAGTCAAAGTATTTAATCCTCCATTTGACCGCCATAGCCTCATTCTTCGTGTGCTGGTCTGCACCAGACTTGTCCATAGCAGCTGTCCCTCTGGCCTCTTGGGAGCTAGCTTAGTCTCTAAGGCTTCTCACCAAAGCCTGATGTCTTTCAGAGGATAGAGGTTTGGGAGCAAAGCTGCCACCATGTGCAATAACTTTATGTTTAATAGCCAAAAACTAGAAACAGGGTAGATGTCCTTCGTTGGGCTCACGGTTCAAGAGCTGAGATACATCCATATTGTGGAATATTACCAGACATCAGAATAGTAAACGAGTGGGACAAACCCTTGGTTAGACTGCCAGGGCTTTGGGGTTAATGAAAAAAGTTCACCTCCAGAAATCACACGATTTCACTCCCGTAATTTCCCAAATGCCAGAGCACAGATTGGTGGTTGCCAGGGGTTAGAAATGGTGACAAGGAGGCGTGTGGCTAGAATGGCACATCTTTAACTGTGTGGCTATACGAATCTACAAGTATGAAGGATGAGATAGAACTACACACACCTTTACCTGGTTTTTTATATATTACTGTCACCATGTAGATGTGAGCACTGGGACAACTGTGTGATGGGCATGTGGGTCCTTTCTGTGCTGTCTTTGCAACTTGCTGTGAATCTCCAGTTATTCTAAGATGTTTTTAAATAAGTGCATGGGGTGATTAGGGGAAAAGGCATAAACGTCTTTGGGAAGAGTATGCAAGGATTACAGTAATGGAAAAAATCATTGGGAAGCATAGCAGGAGGGAAGCCAAGAGTTTCTCTACTGAAACCCAAGAGTTAAGAAAGCAATTGAATCAGACATTCCTAGGTTCAAACCAGACACCTTCCCAGGAGTTAGCACCTCGCGAGGTGATATGATTTTAATATAAAAATTAAACAATATGGTCTCAAATTAATAAATATATACCAATGTTAATATTATACACACATTATACATGCATAGAAAAAAGCTGAAAGAAAATGCAAAGAATGTGAACCGTGCTTCCATCCAAGTGGCTAAATTACTGTCAACTCCACTGACTCCAGACACCGTGCTGGGCACTGTTTTCTCTTCACTGAGTCTTCACAACTACCCTGAGTTGACCACTATCATCTCCATTTTTGCAAATGGGAAAACTGAAGAGCAGGACAATCAAAAAAAAACATAAAAAAACCAAAAAACCGGCCCTAGGTCATGTGATTTGCAGAATAGCACAGCTGGGATTCAAACCCAGGCCTGTTTGAGAGTGTGATTTTTATTTTCTTGCATGTTTTGGTATGTATGTCTGTTGGAGTTTTTATAGGGAACACACAATATTTATGAACTCTAAAGAGAAGCAGTAAATATTCAGTGGCCCCAGGGCCTGGCTATAGAGTATGTTCTTGAGCTGCTGCTCCCTGGATGAGCTGGCCTGAGTGTGGGGCATCTATCACTCCTAAGGCAACCATTTTCTACGCTGGCCCTAAAGGTCCAAGATGACTTTAAATACAGCACCTTCTCGCAAAACAGCAGTACCCAATGTTAATGGAGTACCTAGTTTGTGCCAGGCACTGGACTAAGTGCTTTGCACAGAGATTTCATTCGATTTCAGCACAGCTTGGTGAATCAGATATCACAACCTGTGTTTACAAGTCACGAAACAGGCTGATGTTAAGTGACTTGCCGCCCAGATCACACCTCCGGAAGGAAGGGAGAGCTAGATTTGGACTCCACTTCCTTAGACACCATGGTCTGAGCTGTTGACCGCTGTCACTTGCCACCTTCCTGTCCTGTGTACACCCAGCCAAGGTCCTCTGCTTCTTCCTTCCTGGATATCACATCCTCTCAGATGACCCAAGGGAGGCCACCAAGCACCAAGGTGACTGCAGTGGCTACATAGGTAGGATGTTTATCCAGGTACCTGGCTGAATATCGACCCCTATCCCTAGACAGATAAGAACATTGAGAGCAAATCTGGAGAGTGGCCAGGACTGGGGTATTGGTTGTCTTATCCCCACATCCCATGGGCTGCCTCTGCAATTTTAAACGTACATTATGGGCCTCCCTTTGTCCCCTCTCTGGCCAGAATTTGTCAGAAAAACAGACCTTCTTCAACTGGGCAAGCTCTCCAAGTCATTTGGTGGGATCCAGATGCTCCAGAACCATCAAACTCCTGTTTTCCACGCAGGGTACATTGCACCTGTGGGACCTGTCAGTCTTCCCTATTTTTGCAAGGCCTCAGGAGTTATTCTTAATTTGAACTCTGGCTCAGACCGCTCCAAAGCCTCCTCCAGCAGGCTTCTCTCATTTGCAGGGCTCCCCTGCCAGAGAGGCAACCAGGAGGAAGGAAGGAAGAGACGAAGGGAGGAAGGAAGGGAGGGCTCAGGGACAGGCAGTGAAGTCAACCCAGACAGCAAGTGATTCGACGAGGCAGCTAGGCAAGGAGCAAGGCCAGCAGCCAGGGACACGGCTCTGCCATTAGGTGGGCTCCACCCCCTGTAGTCTTAGGAGAGTCGTCTTTATGGGCTGAGCACAGCACAGGCATTCTTGACAGAGGAGGAAGCCAGAAGTGGAGCAGAAAGAGAGTAAGCTGGTGGGGAAAACCGGACATGGGGGAGGATTGAGGAAAAAGAACAGAGAAACAGAGGCAAAAGCAGGGCCTGGGGAAGACTAGAGAGGCAGAGACATGGATAAAGAGACAAGAAGTAGTGCTGCTTGCCCTCAAGGAACACAGTCCACTGGAGAGGGCAGCAGCCTGGAAACTCTCATCGTATAGGCAGCGATCTTGGGAAGAGGACCAAGACCAGAGAAAGCAGTTCTGCTCTCTGCACAGTTTTCTCAAGGAAGTGAGACTAAAATCAGGCCTGGAAGGACAGTAGGGATTTCAAAGGCACAACCTTCACTGAAGAGTGCTTTCTAGGGACCAGGCTGGGAGAGACAAAGGCCCAGGGTGGAGTGCTTTATCCGAGAATAGGAAAGGCCTGGTGGAAGCTAAGCCTGGAAAGGGAGGTGGGACCAGGCTCTCTGGGGTCCCCCTGGAGAGGGTGGATGGACTGAGGAGCATCTGCAGCTCCAGGAGAGTCACAGACAGCATGGCCTTGAAAGGAAGGTGCTTTAAGTGGCCCTCAGGCCACCAGGAAGGGCAGGGTCCTACAGCAGAAACCCTGGAGAGACAACAGCATCTGTGCTCATTGTTGGAAGGCTTTTCTTCTTCCTCTTTCTGATTTTGAGAACAGTACATATTGATTATAAGAAAAATACGTATTGATTATAAGAAAATTAGAAAATATAACAAATCATTAAAAAGGAAATAAATATCACTCACAGTTTCACACTGTTTGGAATATTAATTTAAAAATGAACCTCTCTCCCTTCACCCTCCCCCAACACTGCTTGATTCTTTTATTCAGTTCATATTTCCTGAAGACCTACTGTGTGCCAAACGCTAGACAAAGGTCCTTACCATGAGCACTGTTGTAATTCTAGTGGCAGGAGGAGAAGTACGACGTAAAGAATAAACATAACCAAGAGTGAAAATATAAAATGTTAGATATTAATTAGATATTAGATATGCATTAATTAATATAAAGTGTTAGATATTAAGTACTATGAAAAAAGAAAATGCCAAGCAGGAGAAGGGAAGAGGAAGGAGATGAGTCTTAAATTTCAAATATGAGGTCTACATCGGCTTCTTTAGCATTTCACATTTTTGCTCCGCTCTCTTCTCATGCAGGATACATGGGAACACATTCAGAGTTATGAACTGCTTGAGATTTTTTTTAATAAAAATGATGAAATTCCTTCACTTGTTCTAAAAACTTGCTTTTTTTCCTTCCCCTAACAGTACGGCCTGGCCATTGCTCCAAGTCTATGCACAGTTCTTCTGTTTTCTTTCAGTGCTGTAGAGTATGTCACTGTGGCCACGATCATAATTTATTTACAGGTCCCCTGTGGCTGGACAGCTAGATCACTTCCAGTTCTGAACAGTTTGAGGCGAGAAGGGGGCTGCCCAGAACCTGTAACCAAGAAAGGCCTGCCTTGGGCTCTGCTTGACTCAGAAGCAGAGTGGGGTACAGCGGGGGAGAGGAGGTCACAAGCAGAAGGGGCTGCCGGGGGAGCAGCACGTGCACCAGCTGGCCCCAGGTGACCCTGCTCCTATCCTCCCCCCATGCATCATGCCCTGCCTCCCCCGACTTTATAGCAAGGCGTTGTGAGCTAGTGCGGTGCGTGGACATGAGTGCGAATGCACACACTCGCGTGCCTCTCCACAGACTCTCTCCTCCGCCCTTCCCTTCCCATGGGCACCAGGGCAGCCAGCTCAGTGCTGCGCTTATTGGCCCTCAGCTGCCCACAGTGGCCTCTGCCGGTGCTCCAGGCTTTGCCGGGTCTTCATTCCACCACAGAAGACCCAGGCCCTCATATGCACCCCACCTCCCTCTGCAGAGCTGGGCTGCATGGCATCGCACAATAAAACTCGGAGACCTCACGATACCTTGTTCTCCGTGGGTCCCTAGGGGCCATTCCGCTGCACAGAGCACTGCCGGGGTTGCCTTACAGGCCTGTCCCTTCTCAGTGGACCCAACCTGCCCATGCATGAACGAGCCCGAGCCTCGTTCTATGGCTTCCACACTGCCCAGCCCTGTCCCTGCTTCTCCCAGGGGCAGACCAAGTGCCAGCCTCGTAAGCATTTCTGCGGATGCTCCCACCCCAGGCCCCCGTGGCCGCTACTCCACATCACGGATCCCGACTTCCCAT